ATTAGCATTATTATATGTTTTACTAACTGTAAAAAATCTTCACATCTAATCTTTTCAAAATTTATATTACATCAATATAATTCCAAACAATTCAACTTGCTCTCTTTGACAATGAAGGAGAAATGCTCTTAGGAAAATCTACACGTGAGATCTCCAAGTTATTTTTTGAGGTACATATATGTAGGTAAATATACATATATGTATTCAAAATATAAAAATTGAGTTTTCCAGTTGCAAGTATTTCCTAAATGTTTAGAATTAATATCCAAAACTAATTTTCCATATCTTTATTTCAGTTACCAAACAACTAGATGGTGGAAGATGAATTGAAGAATTTCAATAATAAAAAGTATATTTTTGGAATTAAGGCTTCGATGAGTAACTCAAATTCATTGTTGAACATGGTTTTGCAAACTTTGCCAGAACCATCGCATATCGTTCCGAGGAAGCTCAACGTAGATCATTAGTATATATCTTTTTCTTTTCCATACTTTTCATGTAAATCTAAAAAAATGTTTCTTTTCTTCGAGTGATGTTGAATTTATTTCCCAAAACTTTTAACCAAGCTCGTTTCTACCTCACTGTAATCCATTATAACTTTCTGGAATATATTCAAAGTTTATTTGAAAATAATTAGCTGTAATGAGTATTGGATTCATCGAACTCCCTCTCTCTCGGTCAATAATTGAATGATGTATTTTTAAATTGTTATTTCAAAAATGAAAGTTTATCCAATTATAGCTATATCAGACCACGTACAACGCACGTGCATAACACTAGTATAGCTTAAGCAAAAAGAAAGTTTGCATTAATGAACTAAAAAGACGTTAGAAGCATTTTAATGGCTGTATTTCATGATGACTTAAATAACTCTCCTTATAAAGGTTTCAGTAACTTCAAGATATCTGAATGTTGAAGTTGTCTTCAAAATCTAAAGATAGGGGAGTTATTCACTGACTGTATTGGGAAGGATATTTTCTCCCTCTATAAAAATTATAAGATGATCTATTTATCACTGCTCTAATTAATTGTATTTAAAGTAATGTTTTAAAACCCAGAATTGGGTCTCAGATAAGTATCTGACAAAGTAATTTGGGTAGGCATTTCTAATCCAGTGACTAATGCTCCAGGGTCTAAAAATATTAAAATATTAAAAATAAAAAGAATTTAAGATTTAACTTATGTGGGAATCACGTGATTTCTCCAACTTGGATCGTCGATTTTTCTGACAAAATCATCTAATTCTCAAACAAAACTAAATGATTCCATCTTGATTTGTCTGATTCCCAGTTATGTAAAGGAACCAAATTGGTCACCTTTGAACCCGATCTGTAACGACAATTTTCAGTCCAGATTGAACACTCATTAAAAGAAAATTTGTTGTAATTGTATTTTTACTTCATTTCTTAACATGATTTAAATTTTTTTTGTTTATTACATCTATACCGGTTTTCTATCCGTTATACCATAATACCTCACAATTTTTAAAAATGACCAAATTGCCTTTTTAAAATTTCAAAATCTAGTTTTAAACTTTCGGATGTGTAATGTCCAAAAACTTGCATTTTGAAAATCCAAAATTTATTTGAAAATTAAATTTTGGATTTTAAAAATATAAAAATTGACAAAAAAAAAAAAAAAAAGGGTTTAATGTCCCAATGATTTTTGTTAAATTGAGATATTGAAAATTCAAACTATGCGGGAGAAAATCTGCAAATCCATAATTTCTGATTTTGATATCTGATATTTTTTATTGATGTTGGATTTTGAAGGTCTGAAATATGGCCCATTTTGGAACCATAAAGAATGAGTATAGATGTAATAATGGATAAATTTTAAATAACATTAAATAAAATAGATATTCATGTAATTTTCTATTTGTATCGGACCTAGATCGACCACCCAAAAATCGTGTCGGATCGGTGGATCTATGATTCCAATAAGAGAATTCGCCGGTCTCAACCTCAAAAAAATTTCAGAAAATCATTATAATTTCTCAATAATCTAGTTTTTTAGGTTTCTAAAAGAAATAGTGGCAGATGTATTATGATTTTTCATTATTGTGTCAAAACATATGTAAATATTGAGAACTTGTCTCATGTTGAGTATTTGTTATCTATTAAATTCATGTTATAGTCAAAATAAAGTTTAAAATGCAACATGATAATAAAATGAATCTCTCTAATTCAATTTATTTGTTTATTTTTGTATTAACTTGGGAGTTTTGATTTTTGAAAAAAAACTATATGGAACAAATTTTAGTGGAATTGATTATTAGTAGAGATAAATAATTTTAGTGGAATTGATTGTTTGTAGAGAGAGAAAATCCATGAGAGAGAGATGCCAAGGTGGTTGAGGGGATGGGTGGAGAGAGAGACCCAAAGTTTATGTATGAAAATTTTGGCCCCAAAGTTTGTTTCATATAATGGTGAAGAAATGAGACTAATTTGTCCTACATCAAAGATTAAATGAGAAAAAACATCTATAAAAGCCTCACACAATACATGTGAGTTGTTGAGTATGTGCACATTTATTAACGTGTATGTGTCATACGCTTGATTAGTAGGTAATGTACTTACCCAAGTTCTTCATTCAAAGCGGTTCAGGCCTGACAGATTTGCTCGTATTCTGATAGAATGTCAGAGATCTAATCAGAGACCCAACCAATTCCTAATACATGGCGGGAACTGGATCATTATCAATGATTCCCGACCAATTCCCAATACATGGTGGGAACTAGATCATTATCAATGATTCCCCATAGAAACTGTTGGTTTTGTCAGAGATCTAATCCGAGACCCAACCAATTCCCAATATATGGCGGGAACTGGATCATTATCAATGATTCCCGATAGAAACCATTGGTTTTGTCAGAGATCTAATTCGAGACCCAACCAATTCCCAATACATGGCAGGACTGGATCATTATCAATGATTCCCAATCAGAATTGAACTATTATGATCAAATGGCCAAGTTTTCAAACCCTAGTATTTAGCACCAATAGTACCATGAGTGGCACGTGCTCAATTTGCTATTATTGAAACTACTGGCACGTCCCATCCATGTTTTGAGTGGTGGATTGAAAAAGATTGTCAAGCATGGTTGGCTAAAAGTATTGTCAATTCGTGATCGGCTAAAGTAGTTTCCAAAAGAATAGCTCAATGATTCCAAGTTGAACTATGAACCTTGGAATCAAAGGGTGTGGTTTTTATAAGGCTGAGGCTCCAACTAATGCGCACTTTCAAATAGTATCGAAACATGTTGTTTTAGTATAAGAAATCTTAGTGATGGTATGAAAATTTATTTTCAACTTTAATTAGAAAATTTAAAGATTTAAACATAGTTTAGATCAATTATATCTAAAAAAATTTAAATTTGACGATCTAGATAATACATAACAAGATGTAGTAGTTCCAATAGTTGAAATCTATATTTTCTCATGTCCATACATTTTTGAAGTCAAGATGATCAAATTGAGGGTTTTTCAGCATCAAAACAACATCCTTGGTAAATTTTTAAAGTGTGTCTTAATTTGATTGTTTAAGACCTCACCATTATACAAACGTTTTCCATCAATAAAACATTGAATTTGAATCTTCCAAACTCACTTGACACTACTTCTCCAACTCACTTGACACTACTTCTCCCTTAGATGTTGACAAGTAAGGGCCTGTATTCCGCACTAAGCTACGGACCCCACTTGAGACCACTTCTCCCTTAGATTTTGACAAGTAAGGGCTTGTATTCCGCACCGATCTACCCAAAAAAAAGAAAATATAGAAGAAGTATTTTTGGCTTCATGAATGTCGTTTTGTATTGTTTCCAAGCCAATCAACAATACCATAATCATGAATTGTTCCCCCTTTAATTATCAAAAGATACAAATAAGGTAGATTCTTCTCTATCTCAAGTAGCATTGCGAGACTTGTTGTTTATCTAGGCCCAATGTCAATCAATATTTCTCTATGTTGCTCAAGGCGCTCAATAAATGTAAAACTACACAAAATGGACCCCAAATCCTCACGTTTTGTTAGTGTTCATTTTAGTGCAATTTCCACTATTGAATATTATCCAAATCATATATTTTAGTCTATTTCGATTATCTACAAAAAGGCCATTTATCTTTTTTACATGAATGTCACAATCATTATTGTCCCTTAAATTTCAAAATGAGTAGTTGTAAGAATGTTATTGTATGGGCACACAATTTTTTAAAAAAAATTCTCAACCATCATGACTCACCCCAAACCATCCAAATGATTGTGATATGTACAAAAGTTAAAATACATAGTTTCTATGCAACCAAACCCGCAAATGTAGAAATGCAGGGCTCTTAATAAATCTATTGTTGAGATGGATTTTAAGATTTTATTTTTAAGGAGATGTAATCTTTAACAGGGAGATCATGAATATGAAAAAATAAATAAATTTTAAAATTAAAAATAATAATTCTAATGAGAAAACATTTGGACGGTTAGTTTCATTGTTTTTAGATGAAACACCTAGTTACATCCATCTTAAAGATGGATGCTTTACACACTGGACATCATATGTAGAAATGCGGTCCAGCCCGCATGAAACAATTTTCCAAAGACTGAAAATTAATTAGCATCCAAATAAAACCTTCTCTTACAATTAACATTCGGAATTATATTACTTCAGATAATTATAAGCAGACAAAGCTGGTGGGTCTTACTGTCCGCTTTTCTCGAGGTCAATTTCCACTCTTTCCCACCTTATTTGCTCTTGAAAAACTTACGATGAAGCAGAAGCCCCGCCTAGGGTTTCTATTTTCGCATAGACATGTTTATGAGCAATTGCGCAACTTTCCTCTTCATTTCCCATCTGGTAAGCTCCTGTCTCTCGGAATCCCTGAACATTTCGCTCTTGATTTTACTAAATTCCATTGTTCGTGATTATTTTCGATTCAATTTGTGTATGAATCGTTTCTATGTTTGAATTTCCTTGTAGAATCGCTAATTTGGATGCAGTTTATGAATGTCGTGGTTCATGACCATCTGAGTATCAATTTTTGTATAAATCGTTCTGTTGTTCTGCCTCGTCGTAGATTTGGCTAATTCAGATAGATTTCACAAATCTCAGATCTATCTTTCTCTTTTCTTTTGGGTGCTTTAGTTGCTTGAGTGTTAAGACTGTCTATCTTCTTATCTAAGGGAGGTATAATTCTGAGTATTGTGTTTGATTTTGATGCTTAAATCTCTGTCTAATAGGATGATATCTGACATGCTTATGATCATGGACTATTCTTCTTTTTAGTTGGGTTAAGATGCTGATGAAATGCTTCATTAGTGATTATGATCTACATAATTATCTTTTGTTGTTATTTGATTATAGTGGTGGGAGAATTGGAAAGATGATAGTTAAAATGAGTGTAATCTTTGTTATGCTGTGCCATGATTTGTAATCTAGTCTATGATGGCTTCTATGTTCTTGCCTGCATATTTTTGGGAAATTCCATGGATGGATGGATGAATTAGTGAGGCTTTGTTAATTGTTGTGCATTTGATGCATTTTCTTGTTGCATGCATTTGGTGTATGTGAGATAGGTTCAGACCTGAGTTCCATAGACTATGAACTAATGGAAAACGTAAGTCACGTGCACGGTTACATGTCCTTAGCTTTTTGTTATCATTACACAAACATATGGTTGAAATTTCTCCATGAAGAAGCTGAAATTATAGTTATAGAGATATATGTGTGAGTGAGTCAAGTAATAAAATAGGGAATGAGTACAATGGACTTGCACAATGCATGACCAGAGGAGGCCATGTCTGAAAGTCAGGTTGTAGTAGCTAGTTATGGATAACAACTTTGTGAATTCACTAGCCAATCCTAATACCTAAGTCTAAACATAAACTTCTCCAAGACAGTAAAAGATGGTGGTGGTTTTTTGATCATCATCAGAGCCTTTTCCCAATTAATTGGGGTCGGTTACATGAATCCTGGTCCTTCATTCTGTTCCATTAAGAGCCATACCCTCAGTGAGGCCATAAGTCCCTATTTCTTTTTTCATTACATTCAACCTAGTCCTTTTGGGTCTACCTCTTTCCTTTTTTGAGCCTTCCATTTGAACTAACTCGCACCTGCTAACAGGTGTTGTACTGGGCCTGCGCTATACATCGCCAGCCCACTAATGTCTACTTTCTCTCATCTTATCACCTATTAGTTCCACACCTAAATTCTCCTGAATATATTCATTTCGAATTCTATCCCTTCATATCTTGCCACTCATAAATCTTAATATCCTCATCTCAGCTACTCTCATTCTATGGGTATGTTGTTTCTTGACCGTCAAACATTCTGCCCCATAAAGCAAAGCTGGTTTCACAACATCCAATATAAATTACCGTTCTGCTTCATTGGTATACGGCAATCACATAAAACTTCGGTTGCACATCTCCATTTCACCCACCCAGCTCTAATTCGATGTGCGACATCTTCTTCAATCTTTCCATTTTCTTCGATTATCAATCCAAGATCGAAAGTGCGCTCTTTTTGGTATTTTTTGGCCATAAATCTTAATTACTTCTTGGCCATAAATCTTAATTTCTTCTTTGTCCCTACTCCTATTATTACTAAACTTGTATTCCATATACTCTATCTTAGTCCGGCTTGTTTTAAAATCTTTAGATTCTAGAGCATCCCTCCAAAAGTTCTAAGTATTACATGTCTTTCTTAATATTGTTATTACTTGTAAGTATTATATGCTATGGGCTTAATATTTATTCAAAGTCTTTGATGTTGTGAAATGTCAAATCTTCCTCCTCTCTATATAACTGAACTTGGATCTTTTAATCTTAACTTTAAAGTGGTTCTAGCAAATATGGAGTTACTGTAGTCCCTAGTGTTACTTTCCTTTGAGAGTGCCTTGTATTTGAGTTAATAAAATTGTTCCATTTCAACTTGTTTTAATGATATCATATATTGCACATTACCTGTTTTGACTTGATTAACTTATGAGTCACTTCATTGAGTAAGTGGAGTGCTATTATTATATAAAAGAAAATCATAGTTGTTGGAATGGGAGTCGGAGCAGCAGAGAGGGATAGTCACAAGCTAGAAGCTCCCTTGTTTGGGAATGCATTCGGTACAATTTTTTAATTGCAAAAGAAAAATGCCCAAATATTAAATTTTTTATTCATCATTGTCAAAGCCTTTTCCCAACTAATTGGGGTCCGCTACATGAATCCTGGGCCCCCATTCTGCTTTGTTAAGGGCCATACCCTCAGTGTGGCCATAAGTCCCCATATCTTTTCTTACTACTTCCAACCATGTCCTTTTGGGTCTACCCCTTGCCCTTTTTGAGCCTTCCTCTTAAACTAACTCGCACCTCCTAACGGGTGCTGTATTGAGTCTGCGCTACACATGGCCAGCCCACTTAAATCTACTCTCTCTCATCTTATCTCCTATTGGTGCCACACCTAAATTTTCTCGAATGTATTCAATTCGAATTCTATCATTTTTTGTCTTGCCACTCATCTATCTCAACATCCTCATTTGTACTACACTCATTCTATTCCTTCTTGTCTTGCCTCTCAAATATTTGAAATTTTAGTAAGGAATTAAAAATCCAATAATCTCACAAAATATAATAAAAACGTTCACAAAAAATGGTCAGATATTATTCTACCACAGTCATGGGCACTACAACATGCAAATCAACCCCAAGAAATTTCAAGAAATAATATTCCAAATCAAATAATAGAACATCCAGATGGAAATATTGAAATCAAATTCCAACAATCGAAAGTACAGGATGATATAAATATTAATCGGAAAAAGAATAAAACACCATTAATACCTAGTAGAAAATCTTATTCCCGTACTCCTGATGTTATTATACTACCTTCTCCTTCCCAATCTTCTTCACAAGCAATACCTCGTTCAGATTTACAATTACAAGGAATAAGAAGAACAACTGATCATGTTGTTATTCCCACATATACCCCTGAATCAAATATAGCATACACTTCTGAACCTAGTATAGAAGAATTTCAAATATTAACATTACAAATTGAAGATGATATAGAAGAAGAAGAAATAAATCCATATGATCAATATTCTGATGAATATATGGCAGCATACTTGGCAGCCAAATTGGAAAGGAAAAGAAGAAAAATTAATAAAACTTATATCAGACAAGATTATTTATCTGATGAAAATAAACAAATTCGAGAATGGTATTTGAAAACATTTCAACCTAGATTAATAGAATTAATGCATATAAAATATAAAAAATTTCTTAAAAAAGAAAGAGTAACCAATGGATTTTTTATATGGTTAAAAGAAGTATGTAGTCAATATAATATTACTATTCCTTCATTTGAAAACATTCAAACAATAGAAGAAAAAACCTATATCAGTACGGATGGTACTACCACTGCTAGTACACACCCTCCTGAAAAAAGTATAATACTTAAAGCAGTCATCCCATCTAAGGATGAACCACCACAGCCACAATCAATATATGATATAATAGCTACTCCTTATAAAGTCTTACCAAAAGAGCTTGATAAGAAACAGGAATTGATTCCTCATATTGTGGAACAAAATAATTATACAAATTTGTATATGCAATCTTTAGGTAAACAGGCAGAACGAATAGAAAGACTTGTCTCAAAAGAACAACCTTCTGCTACACCTATACCTAAAGCAGTTCTGTTCAAACCACCTCCAGAATTAAATAAAAATAAATTCCATATTGGTGATAACAAAAAGTCCTTAATGGATCAATTAATATCAAAATTATCCCAATTAGAATTAAAGGAATACCTTCTCCCAAAATAAATATTCCTTCACCCACTATTACCAGTTCATTACCTGAATCTTCAGATAAAGGGAAAACAAAGATACTTGAGCATAAAACAATGATGCTCCAAGAAGAACCAATCATAGAAGATACTATCCAAAATCAAGAAAATGCATTTATGGATACCACTCCCATAGATCTCAACAGAATAGCCTATGGAAAAAACTGGAAACCTATTACAGCTTTACCATATCATAAAAGACCTACACCTGTTGATATTCAAATGGAAGAAGATGCTATACAACAAGTAGTATCATATTCAGGAAGATCAATAGTAAACTGGACAATAGATGGATTATCTGAATTAAAAATATTAGATGTCATGAGACATATGACAATGTTTGCCTCTGCAAATAAAATGGCAGGCAACCCAGATCAAGAGGTTGCAAAAGCAATAGTCAATGGATTTACTAGCTGGTTAAGAGGTTGGTGGGATTTCTATGTAGATGATGAAACCAAGAATAGAATCCTCACTAATACTAGACAACGGACCGTCAGAAATGAACAAAATCAAGAAATAATCTATACGGAAAGTGATGCCGTGAACACTTTGATATATACCATTACACTACACTTTGTAGGCAGTACAACACTGTTAGCAGCAAGATCGGAAGATCTGCTCTCCAATCTCCGCTGTCCTACACTATCTCATTATAAATGGTATAAAGATGTATTTTTCTCAAGATTATTAATAAGAGAAGATTGCCAGTTAAACCACTGGAAAGAGAAATTTATAGCTGGTTTACCATATTTATTCGTAGAAAAAGTCAAAGAAAGACTGCGAAAGAAATATAATGGAATCATAATATATTCATCATATACACTTGGAGAATTATCAGCAGAAATATGTGTTGAGGGATTAGCCTTATGCACATATATGAAACTCAAAAGACAATTAGATAAACAAAAAATCACTAAGCGTAAAGAACTTGGTGACTTTTGTGAACAATTTGGATATTATCTTGATAGGAAACAAATGCCTGAAAAATTATATAAGAAAAAGAAAAAATATAAGAAAGACAAGTATAAATCCAAATATAATAAAGAGAAAAAATATTATAAAAAGTCTAAAAGAAAACTGATCAATAAATTTTCTCCCAATACAAAAGGTAAGAGAAAACTACCAGTATGTTATAAGTGTGGTAAAGTAGGACATTATAAACATCAATGTAAATTAAAAAAGAAAATAGAGTCATTACATTTAGATGAAACAATAAAATCAAAATTATATAATATAATCAATTATGATTCAACTTCTTCTACCACTACTGATTCTCATATAGACCAAATTCAAGATGATGATCTTATATGGACAGAGTCTTCTGATTCTTCCGATTTTTCTGATACAGAATCATCTAGTTCAATAAAAGATAATGATTGTAGTTGTCCTATACCTACACATAATGTACATACACTTACCCAAGAAGATAATTTCATCTTGGACATTATTGACAAAATTACTGATCCAGATGAAAAAAGATCTGTTATTACTCAATTTATTTCTATAACAAAAAATAAAGCAAAAACACCTCCCATCAATAAATCTTCTGATGAATACAATTTTGCTTCAATAATGAAGAGAGTAAGTGAACAACATACTTCTCAACAACAAAAAGAACGTACAATTTCAGATCTCAAAAGAGAAATTAAAGAAATAAAAAACGAAGTATTCCAATTAAAAAATAGGATTAAATCTTTAGAATTACAACAACTATTTCAACAAGATACTGATACTGATGAAATAGAATTTGATCAACTTATGACATATGAACCAGATCCACCATCAGATATTCCAGAAACTTCAGAAGCCAAACTACATGAAATAACCATTCCCTCTGTCAATTTAATAGACAAAATAGTAATTCAAAAATGGTTTGTCCAAGTCAAAATAATAGTTGCTAAAGATTATAGTTTTGAAACTTCAGCCTTAATAGACTCAGGCGCTGACTTGAATTGTATCAATGATGGGTTAGTACTTTCCAAATATTTTGATAAGACTACTACAAATTATTATATATATATATATATATATATATATATGGTTTTGTTAGGGTGTTCACACCATAGAGTATTTTATAATTGTACTCAACAAAATGTTTTTATAATTGTTCACACTTATATATCCTTGTTTTGTAATAAAATGTTTTTTTAGTACGGGTATTTATGGTCATTATGAGGGGTAGATTAGATATTTTTATAAGAAAAGTGATTGCACATCCTATGTGGATGATGTCATTCTCCTCTACATTTTATAAATGCTCTTCTTCTATCATGAATTTCTACTTTGCCATTGAATAATTACCTAAAATACCCCTAGACAAAAAGGTTACTAAATGATGGGGTAAGGGTATCGAGTGTCGAAAAATGTTGTGCACATTTATTAAATGCTCACATGTATGAGTACTCTAATATAAATATATAACTTATGAGAACAATATAGATACACACATGTATATAAGATAGAACAATATGTGTGTGTGTGATCTTGTTCTATCACATACATACACATAATCTTGTTCTATCTTAACGGAAAGTTTGGATTGTACTTTTTTGTTTAGATGCAATGAACTGTAATTTGTAGCTAGAAGGTGTGTCTGTAACTCTGTATATCGAGCAGTAAAGCTTACATCCATATTTCTCTGCAAATAGCAAGGTGATTTACACAATTTACTGCTACAAACTAATATCTCTTTATGAATAATATCTATTGATACAACAGCAGCTAGCTACAGAAAGGTACGCACATATATACATGGAGATAAAAATATAAGTGCATGTAATGCATGGACGCATCTAGGTATGTGTCCATGTATGAGTATGCACGCATATGTGTTAATAGTAGGTATACTTGATTTATATGAAGGATAAACTTTTAACCCTCTGCCACTGTTACACAAATCAGGTGTGCTACCATGTACTGAAGACCACAGCACAGTGCGCATATCTTATTTTTTAAAATGAGTTGCATCTATTTTGTGGTTAGTTTATGTTTATTATAATTTGCCTCCCATTGATATGCCATCTAGTATAATCATCTTGTAGATTTCGTATGACACTAGCTGTAGTATATTGTGCATGTGTTCCTCCTTTAACTGTTTTATAATGGCTAAATCCATCAGTAGTCATGGACTTTGTGAACAAGAGCATTAATTCAGAATTCATTTGCTTGGTGGAAACTCTCTACCCTATACAGAAGTAGAAAGGGTCCTGTGAAAGAAACTTGCAGTTAGGATTTGAAATGGGGGACTGCAGTTCTGAGACCAAGCAATTACTGAAGGAGTTCTGGATTCCAGATTACATAGTTAAACCAGGAGCTGATGTACAAAGAATTTCTTCTACACCCGAATGCCCTGTGCTAGTGTTCATCAACTCTAAAAGTGGTGGTCAGCTAGGCGGTCAGTTGCTGGTAACATACCGGAATCTTCTAAACTCAGATCAGGTAATTGCTTTTCATGCCAAAGGATGCAGTCACGTAATTCCGTTATTTTACTAGGATTATTTGGATTTCACACGTCCTTATTTATGTTGTGATGTCTGTTGGTTGTTAGGAATGTATAATTTGCTGAAGCTGGTCTGCTAATGCAATAAGCTGAATGTAACCTTTTGTCTTTTTAGGTTTTTGATTTGGGGGAGGATGCTCCTGATATTGTGCTGCATAGGCTCTATGGGAACTTGGAAATGCTTAAGTCAAAGGGTGATCATTTTGCTGCCGAAATTGAAAAGTGTCTGAAAATAATAGTGAGTACAGTTTGGTTTACAAGCATGTATTTTGTATTGGCTTTTGGCTTTTATTTCTCCTTTTATTTTTATTTAATCTATGATGGTCACAAACAAAAAAATGTATTTCTATTCTGATTTTATTAAATCTTAAGAGGTCCTTTTCTAAAACTCATTCTTGAAATAATCAATTATGTCTTGAATAGGTTGCAGGTGGAGATGGTACAGCAGGCTGGCTGCTTGGTGTAGTATCGGATCTCAAATTATCTCATCCACCTCCTATTGCTACAGTCCCCTTGGGAACTGGAAACAACCTTCCCTTCTCTTTTGGTTGGGTAAGTCATCAGCAGTTTGTCAAACTTACGAAAATAGGGACACACCTTGATGGGCTTTTAATGTGGTACAACATTGATTTGGTTTCGCATTCTTTTTATATTTGTCTTATGTGAACCAATAAGGCTAGGTAACGTTCGAATGGGTTTCAGATGGTATTTGGGACATCAACACTGTACCATACTCTCATGTTCTGTGCTTTATCCTTTTTCAGTTTATTGCACTTCTTTTTCCCTTGCAGTTGGAATCTCTCAAGACTGTAAACAGCATTTGTCATGTTACTAGTTCAAGTCTGTACACCACTTTCGGTCTGGTTGTGGAATTTGTATATCATTTTGGAATGCATTTCCAGACTGTATAACCCTTTCAACATCATCCTCATCTCTAGTTTGAGCTATGAAAGGAAGCTGGTCTCTGATGCCTAACTTATGGCATTGTAACAAACCTCTGGCAGTCGAGGAAGAGGCTACAAGTTATGTTATCAGGGTGCTGCAATGATGTCCGCTTCCTAGCAGGATGATGTTGGGAAAGCCGAACTTGCCACTTGTATTCCTATTTTATAATGGCTAGATTGGTCATTGAACTGGTGAGGGGTGTTGAATTGGCATGGCCTGTTGGACCAGTAATGAAAAAAAAGATATTAAAGAAGAAAAGTCCAAAAATGTCTAATGAATTGAAAGAAGTAAAGGAACCAAGATATTAATCATAAAAAACGTTTGCATCACTTTATTATATATGTGAAAAATCAATACATAAACATGCAACATACCTAATTCTATTGCATGTGAAAGATCTTAATGTACTCTTTATTCTAATATATGAGATGTGCAACATAAATAGGATAACAAACTACATGCAATGAAGCATTTGCTAATTTTAATTATGGTTATAAATGAGATATAATTTTGTGGTATGGTTTTTTCAGGGGAAAAAAAATCCTGGAACAGATCGTGAGTCTGTCGAGTCCTTTTTACATCTTGTGAAGGATGCAAAAGAAATGAAAATAGATAGGTATGACCTCTCATGTGCTGTCAATTATACTTTTTGCCAGATGAACTTCCATCTATTTATGAACTTCATAAGTTTCTTTTAAATTTATGTAATTGGTCTATGTTTGCACATAGAATTAATTGAGAATTCTTGTCAGCTGGCAGAACGATTTTGAAATCAGAGAGGCTTTTCGCTCTCGTCTGTTAGATACACAAGGCCCAGCATTTTAACATTATCTGCCCTAGATTTCTTACTGGTAACCCTTGTTTCTCCTTCTAGAAATGAGGGCATCCAATTAGTACATAATACTTGATGTTAATTTATTTTTCAACAATCTTGAGTGGCTAATTGAATTTAATCATTCTGCGCAAACAGGCAAATATACTGAAAGAAACAAGTTATCAGAAAGTAGGAAAGAAAAGGCTATAAAGAAAAGACTAACGAAACACCTTGTAAATTCAAAGAAATAGGTTGATCATCGTGAAAACTTCTATGAAGAGGATAGAGAATTCCAACACAACTAAATACTGAGTAAACCACAAAAAAAATATCATCCACTACAGCCAGCCACCCTAGATGTGCAGCATTCACGTCCTTTTTCTCTGACACTTCATATAACCTACAGTTGCAAAATCATATTCAACAAAACACTAGTTTCAAAACCTATCTCCTTAAGTGTTTCCTCACATCATAATATTTGTACACAAAAGGTTTCAGACAACATTTAGATTCCCAGGAAGTATGGTTTCCATGGGAATGTATAGAAACCAAACCTCTTTTGACTTGGACTGTAATGTAGACAAAACCAAACTAATGCACCTTGAAATTTATCAGTATACTTTGAAATTACAACTTGTAAAACCAAATTACAACAAGGTCACTGTAACTTCAATGAGATATTGACTTTCTAATACACTCAATTGGGGTCCCTTGCATATGAACAAAGCAAGTTACAAAAAGAGATCATCGAACGACACATATAATATGCATTTGAAAAATCAGCTGTCACACCCCAAGATTTATAACACTGGAATCCCTGAGATGTAACAGTCTATCTTTAACAAAACGAAATTTTTCTACTTCACCATTAATTGCACTAAAACAGATTTTTCCATTTCTAAGAGTCTGTACAAAGTCTACTCATAACTAGTATTAACATGAAGGTTTAGATATATATCTGTTGATAGGACAAAATTTACAATAGTGAATTTGAACAAAAGTCACAAGGAGAAAATTTCATCATAACTATGACTTCTTCCAAAGTTGGTTCTGTTGTGCCTTCAACTAGGGAGGCTGCAATTACCCTGAAATTTTTTTACCATAGTTTGATGAGTTTGTCTACTCAGTAAGTGATCATCATAGTCCTCAAAAATAATCATGGTCGGAAGATGTAAGCATTTTAAAAAAGGGAGGTCTATTAGAAACAATGCGAGCCAAAAAGCATTTATGGATGACAATTTCACTTTTTGAAATGCACAATTAAACATAATCCAAATGATTGAAATACATATAAATATTTTAGCAGTAATGCATAACTCAAAGGATTTCACAAAATACCCTACTGGCGTCCCAAGTAGGTCACCTATATACCCCACCAGCGTCCTGGATGGGTCCAAACATACCTCACCGGCGTCCCGGATGAGTCCAAATAGTCCCTACCGGCGTAACCAGATAGGTCCAAACAATCCCTGCAAGTCCAAGCGTACCTCACCGGCGTCCCGGTGAGTCCAAATAGTCCCTAGCGGCATAACCGGATAGGTCCAAACAATCCCTGTAGGTCCAAACGTACCTCATCGGCATACCGGATGAGTCCAAATAGTCCCTATCAGCGTCCCGAATAGGTCCACATATACCTAAATTATCTCAGAAACTCTTTAACATCAGAAAACATCAACATCGTATATTCAAAGTATCATTGAAATCATTAACAGGAATTCACTTGAAGCAATTTAAACAATTACTTTCATTGAAATATCTGTAAATAGCCAGTTAAACATTTTGTGCAATAATTTCTGAAAGGTAGTAGTTTTGAAGGATATTCTTGAATCTAACACGATAACAGTCTAGTATCAACATACAAACTTTTATGAGAATCCAAAATTAAATACGAAATTATCACAATTTATGGAATTGCCAATTTGTAAATAATCATTTCATAGGCAATACTACAATCAAGTGCAAAAATATCAGTTTTTGAAATAATGAGGTAGACATTTGCATATGAATTTTACAATGTCTAAATATTAAAAAAAGTAGAAAGAAATCTCACAATTTTACTAAAAGTGGAAATATCACAAACTATTTATTTTAAAAACAAACTATTTTTCAGGAGGATGAGGTCACTTACACATAAAACATACAATATTTAAAATTTATAACAATGATCGGAAATGTTACAATTTTGTTGAAAGAGGAAATACAATAATTTACAGTATCTAAAATCATAATAGTAGACAAAAATATCATAATTTTATTAAAAAGATTATTTTCAAGACAATGAGGTCACTTAAGTTCATGATGCCGATATGCCAATGGGATGATCGTCCACCTATCGTGATGCATAAATACATGGTCGAGGCTTGAGATTAGAGAGATCCAAGAGACTATGTTTCGGTTGAACATTTTGCGTGCGGTGCTTAAAAGGTCACATTGCGCATATAGATTGATGATGTGATTGGAGACGATTAAGTCGTTTAGAGAGAAAAGTAGCCATCCTTTGTGGAGAGCGGCGCCGAAGAGTGGGAGCTTGAGATTGGTGAAGGCTTGGAAGAGAGCAGAGTACGTCTAAAGGTGGTGGATAGTTGGAGCATCTAGAGAGAGAGAAAGATTGAGCTCAGCACACTACTTAGTGTGAATTCATTGGGTTGTTAGAAGAGAGAGAAATTGCAGAGAGTGGGTGGAGAGTACAAAGTGCAATTTGTGTTCGTGAACATGCCTTGTATAAAATCATCAAGGACACACCTAGAGAGAGTGTCGTTGGCTGTTAAATGGAGTTAAAGAGCGTGGGGTTGCAAGTTCCTTCCTCATCTCTCCTGCGGTTCAGGCTTGCCTGCTTATGGAGCTATTTCATCTTGATTCCTAGAGAGCGAAAGTGGCTATCTTCAAATGAGCTTTTATCTCTATGTCTCACCTGCACACATTATCTGTGGCGAGGATGGATTCGTGAAGGTTGCAGTGAGGTGGCAATTTGTTTGTGAAATCTGCTGCCGCTGCCATAATGCGTTGATGAGGGATTTGTTGATTAATCTGTTGTAGCCATTCCTCTTCTTAAGCTATGAATTTGTTACTTTAAGAGAGTGGTGGAGAGGGTTCAAATGGGAGGGCTGGAGGGTAAGGCATGGGAGAGGGCTAATAAAATTATAACACCTAATACTATATGTGTCCATGACACATGACTTAAGATGCCAAAACAAAACGCTTAGCGTACACATCATAGGGCAACGCCAAAAAGAGGAATGAGTGGTCCTCTTGAGCCATATTAATCAATGTACTTATAAAATCTCCTAAAATCTCCATTATATCAACATGCATATGCTCAAGGGTGAAATGCAACATGACCATGGAAAGCCAATCAGAGTTCTCGGGTACCCGGTTTGCGGCCTTGGGTATTAGCTATGTGTTATTGGGTGACGTGCGATGACATATATCAGAATCAAGCCAATTCATCAACTAATCAGGTGGGAAACCAAGCATCTATTGACACACACTTAAACATAAAAGGATTTGCAGAGATCCAAATATCAAATCAAGTGGAAAAATCGAAAGAGAAAATTGGAGTCTCAAAACACAAAACCTGTCCAATTGAATTCACAATTTGGCACACTCTCTTTGTGAAATCATCAATTCAAGAGATCAAGAAGAAGGTTCAAGTGGTTGATATGATTATAAAAATCTCAGAGAAATATCAGCAAAAAATACTCTATAATCCAAGTAAGAAAGCTCATGAAAAACTATATCAAAATGTGCATGGATGAAGCATTTGACTCTATCGGTCAAGAGGGATCAATAATCAATCAAGAGATCAATGATCTAATGATCAAGAGATGAAGAAATGTTATTGTAATTGAAGATTTATAGCAAGAACAAACTAAGGAAATAAGAAGAAATAGAATTGATCTTACTCAATTGTTGAAGGCTTGAAAACTAGATTATCCATGGCTTGAATTTTGAGCTTTGGATCACCATTAACGGAGTAGAATAAAACCTTCAATGGAGTTCTTCTCTCACCACAAGATCTTTGAGAGAGAGAGAGAGAGAGAAAGAGAGAGAGAGAAGAAGCCTCACTTGAGTGTGCCACTCAATGGTTGAGAGAGAAAGGGGTGCATGCCACTCTTTTTGGAGGGATAATCTCAAGTGTGAATTCATTAGAGTGAAAATGAGGCTCAAGGGGGTATTTATAACTTTTCAACCCTCAAGTGTGGAGATGCTTCTAGATTGATAAATTATGACCCTTAATGTCATCTACCAATGGCTACAAAGAGGCATGATCCTAGCTTGCCATCCACCATCATGCCTTCAAAATATGTGGTATGAATTTAAATATTTTTATCCTCCTTAATTCACTCCAATTTCCCTTGTTATAAAAAATCCCATACTCTTCACATTTAATAAAACTAAAAACCAAGATGGAAGGCATACCCTTATAGTTATGAGACAAAAATTTAAGCAAAAAGCGGATCTTAAAAATTCCCTCCATTTCAGAAGTGCTTGTGGGGCTAATAAAATCATTCCACATAAGCTAAGTGGTTATTTCCACTTTTATCTCTATGCCCTTAGGGTTAGGCTTGTAATTACAAACCCTATATCTCTTATAGAATCTTCCACTCATATACACAAACCACTTGCTTTAGGCATTAACATGTGCCAAAAATAATTCTCCAAAATCTCAATTTCGAAAATCGGAACCATTATTGTTTGTCATTTATTTGAAACAATTTCGAAAACTGGATTTTCTTGCCGAGAAAAGTTCAGAAAAATTCACATAAATCCACAAAAATCATTTCAATAATTTTCCATCGAATCAAATAATTTTGGTATTGATTAAAAATATTTACAAGGAAAATTAGGATCCTTGGAGTCGAATTACGAAATAGAGCATTTCACTCGGCTAGACTCGAAGTCCAAAGCCACCTTCTCAGTGTGACCTAACAGACTCATGACCCACAGTGTATAATCAGGGGCTCATGATCTCAGCCCATTAAAGTCAAACCGATGTGCGACTCTGAATCCCTAAGTTTAAGTGAATTTCAGGTGCACCCGTTAGAGGACATGCACACTTACATGATGCAGGGGTTCCTTTCTTAGCACATATGCGTAGCTCTATCCAATGGATCCTTGGAATAGCAGCTTCCCATGTATTGTGATTGTATATGCATATGCTATGAGAAGGTTTTAGGAATCAGGGATTTAGGCTAATGTCCTCTATTGGCCCTTGGCCCTAACCTTCTTGTATATGGCATTTTGTCATCAAGCTCATGCATACCTCGTATTGCCCTAGTCCATCACTCGGTCATGAGACACAAACAAACAATAGACTTTGACTTAGAGGTAACCTTGAACCGTCTTGATACCTTCCATGCATAAATCCTCCTCATGATCTAATCGGGGTTCCATCACTCTTGGTCCCAGTGCACCAAGATCATAGAGCCATGTCACTCTTTTACTCCCATTGAAGTTAAGAGGCATTAAAAAGGTCAGAATTTAAGGCCTTGAAATGACATAATTCCAACATTCTAGTATCTTGTGAATGACCAAAATATATTTATGTAGCCTATGTTAAACATATTCTTCTGTTTGGGTATTGTAACTGTGTCAGACGTGTATCGAGATACATACCAACATTAATTCTACTTGATTCTACATCTTTTTAGAGACTTGATCTTCTTTTTTTTTTTGAGTAGACACATGTGAACTTTGAGAATGTCTATGGAACTTCTAAAATATCCATGGATTCATCGAATTCAGGTATAGTTTGATTATTTTCTTGCTATTCATCATGACATGGAGCACAAGTAATTGTTGATTATGGTTCTCTTCATAATATAGCTGTTGCCTAATCCTCTTCTTCATGGTGTGACAAATCTGACACCTTGTACTTGTGTCAGACATTGATGCATGCTTCCATGTCCATGCAACATAGCAAGTAGCTGACCCCCTCCAGCAAGCGGACGAAATAAGCCTGGAATGTCTTTTAAAAGCTTCATTATAGTCCGGGACTGGACTTTTAATATGGCCTGGGGAGGATTGTTCCTTTGCACTCAGATGCCACTTCTGCTAATTTCTAATATATTTTCAGTTTCCTGTTCGTTGGAGGCTGTATACTGTGACAGATAGATAGGCAAATTTTAGTGTAACTGGCTTGGACTATGATCCTTAAACTCTATAGAGGTAGACTGAAATGGAGAGCTTATATGGATGAAAATCTTAAGAGAAACATGGGGATCTTGATGCACATAAAAATGAATAGAGTTGTATGATTCCCAACTATGCCATAGAATTGTTGAAGATGGCTGTGAATTATCCCAATTGTGCTACCTGCTGATATACTCTTTGTTGGATTCTCACAAAAAGAACGATGCACAGCAGTGTCACAGTTACATATAATAATTTATATCTCGAGGGAATAATGAGTGCATTGATTTTTTTTTGGGCTGAAATTGAAGTCAGTTTCAATGACTCAGGTTGAGATTCGCTACAGTCCTGATCCAACTGGACTTGGTAAGACTTGGCTGAGTCTTGATTTGACGACCTATTTTGCTATACTGAGTTCAGAATGACGCAATAATATTGGGAATAAAAGCAGAAATTTATGGCATTGTATGAATGTATTGCTTTCTTTTCTTGTTTCAGAAATCCAATCTCAATGACTTATCATACACAATCAAAATTCAGTAAATAAAAATTTATTTCACATATAGTCATTGTGAATAACCTTCTCTTAATGCATGGTAGCTGGCATATTCTTATGAGGATGCGAGCTCCGAAAGAAGGTTCTTGTGATCCAATTGCGCCTCTAGAGCTACCACATTCTTTACATGCATTTCAGCGCGTCTCTCCAACTGATTCAATGAATGAGGTATCACTTCCCTTGTGAATCTGTCTACTTTTCTTGCAGAAAGTCTCAACTTCAAAGAATTAACTGAACTTCTTCCACATATTAATATCTTGTAAAGTGGAGCCATTAAGGCCTGCTTCAACGATATAGTTCATAATCGATTGAAAGAGTGTGTTATCATGAATTATGCTTCAATTATTTGTCATTGGAATTTATTGTAAGAATTGGGTCTTAAAGTTGTTGGATATTTTGTTCATGTGTTTTGACCATGATTCTGTGCATCATTTTGTAATGTCTTCAGAAGTTTTTATGTTTGATTGTCAAGTTTATCAAATGAGGGATGTGGTGCGACGTGTTAGGGGGGGTATGATGCACTATATTCCTCGATGCAGTCCCCAATGTGAGGGCATTAGTTCCTATTAAGGCAATAAATACAAAAATTTAAAAATTGTAAAATTGATATAAATGCAAATATGTGATTTGTATGATAATAAGCATTTTAATTTATTATTTGTTTCTAATTGGTACTCTATTTGAGTCGCTGATTGAGTAGTAGGAACATTTTTTGTCTCCACTCTATTTTCTAATATAGCTCATGTAAAAATAATCCAATCAATACATCAAATGTCATAAAAATGAAAATAATTTGTTAATTTACCTAGCACTGAGACTGAATGGAAATTGGATGAATTATTCATCCTGTGGACTTGGAGGATGCAACAAGTTGAGCTTCAGAGGAAAAAGTTTTGCGAGGGTCAAAGGGGAATAGATAATAGATGTAAGAGTGCCTCATTGGAGGATAGATTCAAAGAACTCATAGGGGATTGAGAACTTCTGCAGAAGACAGAACTGAATGCAAATTGGAGATTTTCAGTAGGAGACTGTTCATTGAGGCTGAGACAGATTCAGTGAATTGAAGATTGTTGTAAGGTGAATTTTGATTGTTGTAGTGAAGGTGATATACAACTTATCCACCATTTGGATTTGGGGCATTTCACATGCATTAATTATCTAGTCAAATATTTGATTAGTTGTATAATTGGAGTCTACTTGAGAATGCTGCATAATGCGGATTTTACATCTTTTTACATGCCCTTACTATCATCCTTAAATTTTATGGGTTATCATTGTAAATGGTTATCGTCGTTTGGAGGGATAATTATTTAAATAAATGTTATATTTTATTACCATATACTAGTAAAGAGCACTTCAGGAAGCATTTTGAAAAGTAAAAAATTATGATATTAATAAAATATTATATAACACAGGTGGCAATGTTGCAAATGTGAAAAGGAAGGTGGTGGTTTTGAGGAGTAGAGAAACTGTGGTGTTTTCCCATTTGAATTTATGAATGCGTTGCTTTATTGGAGATTTTTTTATCTTGCTATATTGCACATCTGTCGCATGCGTTGGACATCCCTCTAACTTGTGTTTGTGACGCTGTGTGATGTAGGATCAAGGGGGCATGGCTCTTAAATGAGTGCGAACAAGCAAGGGGGGCTTAAGAAAGAACATGGGTTAGCCGAGTTTCATGGGTATCAAGATCACCTAGTAGGAGTAGGACTAGGGAATTTAAGATTGAAATAGGGAAGGATTGAGGAAGGTGATAGGAAAGGGGTTATATAAGTTGAGGGGATGGTTTAGGTTACGCTTTAGGGTTTTTAAGGGGTTAAAACTTGCCAGAATTTCTCTCCTGGGATAGCCTTGCAGTCTTTACATGATAGTCGATCTACCTTCTTAACTAGGAAGAAGTCTATCTGACTTTTATGTGATCCACGTTTATAGGTTATTAAATGTTTATCTTGCTTTTTAAAGTAAGTGTTTGCTATTGCTAGGTCGTAGGCCATAGCGAAATCTAGAATAGTCTCACCCACCTCATTTTTTTCTCCAAACCCATATCCTCCATGTACCCCTTCATATCCTCTAATATCCTTCCCTACATACCCATTTAGGTCCCCTCCTAAAAAGGTCCTCTCTCCATTTGGTATGTCTTGGACTATTCCATCTATGTCCTCCCAAAATTGTCTCTTAATTATATTATCTAATCCTACTTGTGGTGCATAAGCTCTAATTACGTTAATTATCTCAGCTCCTAATACAAGTTTAATTAATAGAAGCCTATCACCTATTTTTTTGACATTAACTACTTTATCTTTTAAATCTTTGTCTACTATTATGCCTACACCATTTTTATAACTGTCCTTTTCTGTATATCAAAGTTTATACCTATCTATTTCTTAGCTTTTTCTCCTTTCCATTTAGTTTCCTGTAGACAAACTACGTTTACTCTTCTTCATCTCATTGTATCCACTAACTCCATACTTTTACCTATAAGCATTCCTACATTCCATGTGGCTAGACAAATCCTATTCTCTTGGACTAGCTTCTTTACCTGGATTCGTCCAGGATGTCGCAGGAACTCTTGCCTATTTTTCACTGCAACTGGGCGGCGTTGCGGTGGGTTGTTTCTGGGCAACGCCCTAGCTAACCCTTGTTCATTTCTCACTGTACTCGGGGTCCGGTACATCGCGTCGCTTCTGGGGAATGCCCTAGCTACCCTTTGCTCATGTTTCACTGTACTCGAGTTCCGGTACAACGTGTTACTTCTGGGGAACGCCCTATCATAAGAAGATACTGTATGTTTAGGATTCCTGATAACTTTTGGCAAAATTTTATGTTGTCTGCGTACTTAACACAACCCAGCCTCTTTACCTGAGCATGGGACACGTTAAGGGAAAGTTTAAGGTCATCACCCTTTTTAGACCAGTAATCCAAATTATTTGAATATTAATGTAAATTGCAAAATTTTATTATTTGAAGCTATTCACATCAAGTACATTATTTGTGATCTTGGTACTTGAATCGATAATCTATTGACAACGTTGTTATAGTGGACACACTTTGTTACTTTGGTTCCATTCTGGCTGAAGTTATGGTTAATCGTGCCTGGTTCATGTCTAGGTTGTGATTTACCTAAAGTCAGGTTGTGGTTGATTTTACTGCCACAATTGCACTTTATCTGGCTGAACTAGATATCCAATTTAAACTGGCTTTGAGAGGCATGTCAAACTGGATGATGTTTTTAACTTCTACTTTGTTTTTCTTTGTATAATTATAAAATTAGTCAATACTGATTGTATTATTGAAATCGGTCTTAAGCTGCTGATTTGCTTGTTTGGTTTGGTCCTGATGGTTCCTGATATGCACTTTAGTATAAATCAAGTCAAGACTTGATCGGAGTGGTGCCTGACCAGGCCCCAAATAGTTTTGATGACATTTTTCCAGTACATATGATTGTTAGAACCAACAAAAAGCAATATGTTGATAATAATTATAAAACAATCTTTTATTTATCCCAGATTTTCAAAAGAACCTCCATATAACTTGAAATACATGTAGCTTGTGTTTAACTATATGATTTCTATTTCTTGACACATCACTAGAGTATGTGCTGTTTTTGCAGGAGGGTTATCACACCTTTCGTGGCGGATTTTGGAACTATTTTAGCATGGGTAAGAAGTTTTTTCTCTCAATCATCTCATTCCAAAGACCATGACTTGAAATTGATCTTTCTTCAGTCCATCTATCTTGAAATATTTTGTCATGCCATCGATTCATATAGATGGTTGGAGGATGGGGATCGTCTGTTGAAATCACTGTGATACTGTAAACTCTTATTAAAAATAGTTGGCTGGTGTCTAAGGCTTGATATGATAGCATTCGATATCACTTGACTGTAGAAAAATTTAGATTGTGAACTTGTTTTTCTAAAACTAAGCTCCTTCCTAATTGGGAATTTACTATAGTAATATTCTTTATCATTATTTCATTTTAGAAATGATTGAATTGTGGACTGATCTTTTACTAAATTTAAATGCTTTCCTAGTTTTCTTGCGTCTTGTAAAACTATCTCTAGGCACTTGACCAATACTAGGTTCTGCTACTAATATCTTTTCATGAAGTTAAAAGTTTATGAAAAATTTTCTTTTATGGCTTGAACCTGCCTCTATAGGCTAGTCATTTTTTCTGAAAAATTGTTCTCTTTAAGTTGTGATTTTTTTAATTCTTCTCCACACCTTTCCTTTCACTTATTGGAGGAAAATTTTGTGACTTCATAATTACGCCATACCAGAAAATTTTGAAGTTTATTCATGTAATACTCCAAACTTTCACTAAATACCTTGACAACTCATTCTTTACCTTACTTTGGTCAAATTGTAAAGGACATTATTTTCTGAAAAACACCATGAGCTGGTAGTGACTCAGGAACTTATGCACTCCTTGATAACAAGCAGTTGTGTGCTCGATGGCCCATATTGGTTGCTGACACAATAAAGAGATGTCTGTATGCTTTTCTAACAATTCTTTGTAATAAAAAGGAGATCTTGGACAATTGTCATTGCATGGTCCAATATTCAATTAATACAATTTGACCGACACCTGGAAAAACTAGCACATAATTGATCTGAAACCTGTGAAGTTAGATGCTGTCCAAAGTTGAATGAGTCAACATTGGTTTGGAACTGTTGTGTTCATACGGTAAACATTGTTGTAGGAGGTTCAAAGGTGTCTATAAACACGGTGATCTTCTGCATCATTATGAGTAGCTTTATTGAGGATTTAGGTTTATGGTTATAGCTAATTGCTTATGATCTCTTTATTTAAATTTCATGTCAATCTGCAACCTTGTATACGCGTTTTACTGATGTAGGTTTTCTTTTGTACTAAGCACTCTCTTTGATTCTTACAAAAGGGGGAAATTTGTTCAGAAGTGGTGGTGGTATTCATGTGTCGTTAAAGGTTTTGATTTGAAAAATGGATGATAACATGGATATGCATGGAGAAGCATATAGAAACTGTGGGGAAAAATCATGGGACAACACATGGGCAAACATATAAAAAATGGACAGGCGAAAAATTTCCCTATTTTTCTGATTTAAGGTTCAAATGTCCCTTCTACTATGGGCTCCCTGAATTTGGGCATCGTTTGTCCTCCACACTACACCGCATGCATAAAATGACAACTTTTTAGGAACAATATCTATCCCAAAGGGGATTGGTTACATCTATGCTTCCCTTGTTAAGAACACTTAAAAACATAATATTTCTTTAGTCCATGTGACTTATGGTTGTTGTAGTGATGCGGCTTCTACATTGTGAGGGAGAGTCTGTTAGGGCTTGATTTAAACTGCAAGTTCAATGATGGAAAGTTACGCATTATCAAGGATTGGAGGTTTATCTTTAATTAGAATAACTCTAGGACGATGAGATCACTGGTGAAATCAGTCATTCACTAGATAATGAAATATTGCAATATTCAGGTGCCCATTGAACTTGACACTGTCATTCCATATATCCAACATCATCTCTTCATATGAAGCTCCTACGACCTACCATTTTCTTGCTTAAGGCAGAAAAACCTTTATTTTAGCAGAGCATTCTCAATGAAGAACTTTTTTCTCTCACCTTTTGAAGCATGTATTTATTCAATGACATGTCTTTGGGTTCTTTCAAATTGATACATAATATGCTTGTTTTCGTTACAATATTGTCCCTGTGTTTTGGATTTGTTGTTCAATATTGAAGGGACACCTTTCACTAATTCATGCTTTTTTAACCTATACGGAATACTTTTAATGACAATCTGTATCAGATGTGCTTGTTCCAGAAATTCAATCTGGGACTGTCTTTGTCCACCAGTTCTTGTTTAGCATCTGGCATTTGAATCTTTCTTCCTTGAAAATAATGTTCTTTACAAGAATTGGATTTAGTTGCAAGCTAATTTTATTGGATATAATGCATCCAGAATATCTATTGGCAAAAGCATGATCCTTTTGCATCCTTAACAGGAATGGATGCGCAAGTTTCATATGCGTTTCATTCTGAACGCAAACTCCATCCCGGAAGATTCAAAAATCAACTAGTCAATCAGGTAGGTTCCTCATGCTGACATATTTGGATTGTTTATTTTGAGAGCAATGAACGCATCTTTTCTCTTTGTTTGATGGCAGAGTACTTATGCGAAGCTCGGGTGTTCACAAGGATGGTTTTGTGCTTCTCTATTTCATCCTTCTTCCAGGTGACTTTCTTAAGCAAATGTGTAAGCAATTTTTCTTGTGTGTATTTTAATCTAATAATCACAGTAAAATATGAACCTGAAGAATTGCTTAAGTTTGAGTTCCTAAGACATATTTCCTTGATTCTGGTTGAGATTCAGTTAACACATTATGTTTAGTGATAGTTACATCTAGTTTAAGTTGTTTAGAATCAATTTTTGAGAAAAATAATATACTTTATTATTAGTGAGACTGTTTCACCTTCTCGTTACCATATCTCCCCCACTTGTTGAACTCACAAAAACATATCATAACTATTCACTCATGTAATCCATTCCCCAATTAGTTTTTTAGGTTCAAATTTCAAAATAAATTATGCTAATAAACAATTATGAGAATTGGATAAGAACTATCTGCACTTGTGTAAATTTCAACTCAACTCTAAAATTTTTAAATTTTGACTCAAGTTCACTACCTAAGTCCCTAAGTAGAACTAATTCTTTTAATTTTTCTTGTTAAATGTATTAAGTTATTAAGAATGAGATAATTCTACATGAAAGAAAGGTTGTTCTGGTCCCTTCTAAAACCTCCTGCCTAACTATATTAGGGAGGTAAGCTACGTGAAGGACACATCATTCCCCCTAACTATATTTTCCAGAATGATAAAAGAAAAACATGAAAAAAAAGAAGACTAAGGACTATGTCAATGGTTCATCACAGTATAAAATGGGATTCACAAATGGGATACAAATGTTTTTAGACTTCCTCTGTAATCATGTTCTTAAATCTTTAAATTGGTACTTTTGTTGGCTCAATCTATTGACTTTCGTATAGGAACATTGCCCATCTTACTAAGGTGAAGATTTGGAAAAGAGGAACATGGCAAGATCTCGAAATCCCATCAAGGTGAATATGATATTCTTTAGTTTATATTCCATTAAGTATTAGATCATCTTTACTTGGGCCTTTTTTGTATATCCCTGATCCTATATTTTTATAAACAATATTTCTAATGAATTAAGCTTTTCAAGTATCATCTGGTATACCCACATTTCTTACGTATATTTGCGTACTACGTAAGCTGTAATACATTGTATTATTCAGTTGGATAGGATACTTGCATCCGTATTTCTTGGATAGATGTTGGGAATTGTCGAGTTGTATCCTCTCTCCCTGCATCTAATCTTGCATTCATATCCACACCTTTGAATCTTAGCCGATTTTATGTTTAAATTTGAAACGAAACATACTAAAATGATATATCAGAATGCTGAGCTTCCCTAGACATTACACCTGTATATCCTTTTCCTGCAATACAACAACAAACATTAAAACAAAAAAAACAAAAAAAAAAGGAATGCTGAGATTTCCTTCAAATATTGGTGACCGCCATGGATTCCATCTTGACCCCTTACCTGGTTAGCATAGTTGATCATGTTAAGGCATAGAAGCTACAAACACAGGTATATAAGGAACCAAGAGTAGAGATAAAGCAGAGAAGCTGAATAGGGGGACTGAAGTCGGTAAAGATCTTTCTGGCTGATTTGTAGAAAGTGAAGAAATTTTATGTTGACCTAACTGCATATGATGTGAAGTTACAACAGTAGCCAAGGAGGTTCCCTCAGCAGCCTGTGAAAGTCCATTGAATCATTTCCCGCCCTATACTTATCTCTAGAGTATCTAAAGTGTGACCCAACTGTCATTCATCGCGGTATTCCTCATCCATTCCCCCTGAGAAGTCTGCATAGAAGGCTGTGGAAAATTTGAGTAATTGGGATAGGGTGGACCAATCAAGACTAGTTGGATTTCTTTGATTGTCAATCATTAATGTGGGGAGATAGGTTGGTGAAAGAGACGGGTGTGGAAGATAATACAGGTAGGGTTTGTTGACATACAAAATATGTGCACTAGGATAGTAATTGGTGGCAGTAGGACGCCTTATTCTGGACTGATTCGTGGCTTGAGGAGGGACCCATGATATATTCTTATAGGATGGAGCCATTGGCCAACTGGGTGCCAACGTTTAAGAGACTGGCATCCCATTTTGATCTAGAGATGTTGGAGGCTAGCGCACTCTTGAGAAGCTTTGATTCAGGATGTTTTTACCCTCCATCTTTGTCCATCCTACACCTACAATTGGCAGAGGATGAATGGCTGGGAACCTCTTTTGCATGGACACAGGTACGTGTATCAGTATCTGACACCGGGACGGTGTGTTCAGTGGGTATTTTAGAAAATCAGGGACAAATTTTTTGAGTTAGAGATTGACAATTTTCTGGAAGAAACTTCTGCATTAGCTGCAGGTTTTTTTGGGTTGCCTAAAAGTTTGTTTCATTAAAATATTTCTAAAGGTTGGTATATTTTTGAACATGTAAAACAATGTGAGAGTGGTCTCTAGAGTTTTTTAAGTTTTAGGCTGGTCTTTTTGTCCCCACCTAAAGTATATTGGAAATAATCCATTATGGATGTATTTTGGGCTTCTAAGGAAGTCAAACAAGTTATTAAAATGGAGGATTGATGATTATTTATATTTTTTTTTTGTTAGTTTGAGATAAAATTACTTTGGGAGGAGTAATTTTGAAGTTGGCACTAAAATACTTTTCCATTATAAAACCCTATAGAAGCTTCATTTTCGGTGTTCCTTTGAAGGTTTCTAAACAAGAGGATAGCCAAGAGGGAGAAAATCTAGGATTTTAGACAGAAAAAAGAAACTCAAGAGGTTTCCTATTGAAAGAAACCTATGATATGTTTTACAAAAGAAATGTTTGGAGAGGTCACTTTAAGTTGAATTAGTTGCATAATTTGCCCAAGGAAGTTGAGCTGCAAAGAGAGTTACATGGAGTGAAATATTTGTGCATCTAAGGTGAGTTTTTACTGGATGGTTGCAGAAAAGCCATCTTTTTCTTACAATGTTGTAGTGTTATTTTTCTATCTAGTGGAAGCAGTTTGTAGCATACAAATTTGGAAGTTTAAATTTGCTATTAGAAAAACCTATATCTATGTACAAATGGGACCTTCATTTAAACTCTATGAGTTCCATTGAGTGATGCTTTGCTTTCTAATTTTGTGGCATGAATCAACGATACTGTAAAGAGAATACAAGAAGATTTCCTGTGGTTCTTGCAAGCTCATGGAGGTAAAGGGTCTTTGCACATTTTAAAAATTGAACATGATCGGAGAAATTGAACATGATCACAGGAAAGAAGGCAGTTTACCAAAATAGAAAAAGATGGCAACCAAGGCAGACAAAAGGTGTTGCCAGTGTACGAGGGTAGGATTTGAATGTATTGCTTTTCGGGGATTATTTGAAATTAGAAAATTCGACATCTATTTGCCCTACATTAAAAACCCATTAATCTATAAAAAGTACCCTTAGCCTATGTGATACCAAGCTTCCTTATGCATGCAGTGTATTTCACTCTATGGCGGATGAGTCCCAATAAGCTACAAAGCACTACGTTAATGATTTTTAAATTTTGCGTGGGTTTATAATTTCTTATCGATCCAAAATTTTTGGGCAGTTAAGAAAGGTCTTCAATTGAAACTTCAGATGTATAGAAGTATTGAGTTTTAGTGATTTGTTTTCAAATTTAGTGACTATAATGGGTTGGTTTTACCTTAATAATCTATAATCTATTTTTCACTGTCAGAAATTGAAGGAAATCTGGTGTCACAGTCACACCACTAGATACTTGCCCCAAGAATAATTTTATCCACTTAGTTGCTTCTAATAATGAATTTTCTGTGAACTGCCAGCCCATTTGTTATTAAAGACATCTTCTTCATCTACAATATACATAATGCCCATAATACTAGGATGTTATTATCAATAACATCAGTTGGTTTCGGAGGTGACTTTCTTATCTGAAGAGTTTGTCTGCGAGATTGACTAATAGAGTTACTTTATGAATAAATTTTTAGCAGAGAAAAGAATAAAACTAGCGATTCAATTCCTACTGATTACTTAAAAGCTGGATTGCTGGTATGTAAATGGTTCTGAATGCATCGAGCAGACCAGTTTAAGTAACTCGTTCTGCAATTGTTCTGTTGCTGCAATGCATAAAGCAAATGCTTCATATAGGAAATCCTTATGCAAGTTTGGAATCTGATAAGAGATGTATGATGGGAAATAAAACTTACAAATTGCAATGTAAATCTAGGATATATTTCTGATTTGTGTAAATGTACCATGTTGCTGTGGCCTAGTGCTGGCTATGAAGTTTTGAACTTTAGCAGCATCACGTTATTAATTTCATGCCAGTGATTCCGAGGTGATTCTCGGAAATTATCTGTTAACAATTTAGGTTTAATTACACTATGGTCTTGGTAAGCTGCCTCAGAGATTATCACAAAATGCTTGGTTACTGTTTTGTAAGGCCAAAGGCTAGTATTAACTCCTTCAAGCTGATGGTTTTTTAAATGATCATACTTTTTTGTGTGAACCAATTTTTTATGGAACTCTTATGTACTCTTCTAATTTGCAGCATTAGGTCCATTATTTGCCTTAACTTGCCAAGCTTTTCTGGTGGATTAAATCCTTGGGGAACACCAAACAAGAAAAAGAAACAAGATGTAAGTTCTGGTTGGTGATTTAGTTTTTTTTTTGGAAATTGTCAACCGTCCAGTTGATGATTTAAGTTTCTTCCTTTGTTTTGGGATTTTACATTCTAGAAGACTAGTAGTCCAAGTTTTTTGGCATTCTCTCTAAATGACAAACTATGTATTCGTATGTAACAATTTGAGATGTTCTTCAGAGAGATTTGACGCCACCATATGTAGATGATGGTCTTCTTGAGGTGGTAGGGTTTAGAGATGCCTGGCATGGCCTTGTTTTACTTGCTTCCAAAGGTCATGGAACCCGCCTTGCACAGGTATGAATGGATCTGGAGGTTCTTTGAATTCACAAATGTTAACAGACATGTGCATTGATCTTGTGCTTTAAGAGCCTATAAGTTTCATTGATATGTAAAGCATGTATTTCATTAATAGTTCATTTAGATAATATAGAAACTTATACGATAGTTTGAAATATCGATGTCAAAATGATACAGCCGTACAGGTTTAGGGGAAAAATTTAACTGGGAATAATTGATGCCATGAAGATCTAGTCCATGCTTTTATTTATTGGCTTGAACATAAGTTCCCTAGTAAACTAGTGCCACGTGGACTCTTAAGTCTATTCTTGCCAAGTTGCCGTGTGTCATTACGATATGAGGATATGTGAAGTGGCCAATTCATCAATTTTAGTCAAAAATTTCCAATGTTACCATATTCCCTTCAGAGTTTTCTTCAGTTTGGCCTGGAAGCACTTCAGTGCTTTAGGTGATTTGAGGAAGACTTTGGCTTCTTAAAAAAATCATGAATAATTTAACATATGTATAAATTGAAAAATAGTAGAAGATTAAGGGAAATGGTGGGTGAGTTTCCACAAAATTTGATACATTATCCAATGGACTAATATGATCGCTGCATACCAATGAAGTTGAAGGGCAAGTTCTATAGGACAGCTGTGAGACTAGCTTTGCTCTTTAGGGCTGAATGTGGGGCAGACAAAAAACAAATACCCATAAAATGGATGTAGCAGAGATGAAGATGTTGAGATGGATGAGTGGCAAGACAAGAAGGGATAAAATTCGAAATGAATCCATTCAGGAGAATTTAGATGTGGCACCAATAGACGATAAGATGAGATAGAGTAGACTTAGGTGGGCTGGCAATGTGTGGCATCAAGGTTTCAAAAAACGCTAGGCTGCCCTGAGGCGGCCTGCTTGGCGCCCAACGCCCAGAACCTCGGGTGTCCTATAGTTTTTCACTTTGGGGTTTTTCATATATTGAGGGTTTTTTCTTATTTTGTTTCGACTTTGGGGGTTAAAAATAAACCCCATAACATTTGTATACAACCTTGGGGTCAAAATGACGCTTTTTGCCCTTTGGGCGGTTTAAAAACACTAAAGAGGCCTTACGGCCCTGGGTGCCCGCCCAGGTACATCTGCCCATGTAGGGCCGCCTGGGTCTAGGCGTGCGGATTTTTGGTCCAAGCCGCCTAGGCGCCAGGAGGACCGTTTTTTAAAACATTGTGGAGCGCCGACCAAGTACAACACCAGTTAGGAGGTGCGAGTTAGTTCAATTGGAAGGACTTAGAAAGGCCAGGGGTAGGCCAAAAAGACGTGGTTGGAAGTAATTCAAAAAGATATGGGGACTTATGCTCTCACTGATGATATGACCTTTTAATAGAGCAAAATGGCGGACCAGGATTCGTGTAGCCGAACCCAATTAATTAGGAAAGAGATATGATGATGACGATCCAATTAACTATCAAAGATTGTCATTTCTATTTTTCAGATGATAATATTAAAGAGTACCATTTAGAGCTAATATTAGAGGACGACATTTTTATTTGTTTATTGAATTGAGTTCAAATGGATCTCCATTAATGAAAAATTTGTGTAGGTCCAAAAAAAACTGCGTGCCAATACACGTCAAAAATCAACACCCTCCAAGTGCCATATATAAATGCTTTTAATATTTGAGGACATACGATATTAGCCAGTTAATTGATATTCTAATTTTTATATATGCCGGTGGTTCCTGACAATCTTCAATCATAAGTTCGTAACACTTCAAAATTAATTGCAATTATAGAATCGATGTTCTTTCTAGAGATTAGAGAGAAGCATTGCTTTAATAAAATTTGTGAATTGTTATTCATTGGAAGGAAATTGCACGAGGAAAAAATAACTTTTTAAATTTTATTCCTATAAAGAAATGGAGATATTAAATTATCGCATTAAGGGTATACTTAATTGTATTTCTTTTAAGGAAACAAGTGATTGAATAAAGATATGAAACCATTCAAAAAACATCCAACATACTAAATATGTTACTTCTCATACTAAGTCCAGTTTCTTTTCCTATTGACCAGGAAATTCATTTTATATACAAAAGATCACTTGTTTGATAGAAAATGTTGATTTCTATTTTTTGAATGGGACGTAAACTCACTTGTTGGAATTTGGTTTTTTTCTAGGCACATAGGATCCGGTTTGAGTTTCACAAGGGATCTGCTGACCATACATATATGAGATTAGATGGAGAACCGTGGAAACAGCCTCTCCCTTGTGATGATGACACTGTTATGATTGAGATCTCTCATTTGGGTCAAGTTAATATGCTTGCAAGAGATGACTGTAAAGCTAAAAGCCTACATGATCCATCAACACCTACTTCTGCTGGTAATGAAGATGAGGACGGAGACAGTGATGATAGCACCAAGGATGAAACAGAGGAAAGGAGGAAGTTTGGTGCTGCTGATACTTTCAAATTCATGCAGGACGAGGATCCTGCTTGGTTCAGTTAGCTTTCTGCCCTCCACTCCCCTCCCCTCCCTCCCTCCTTGTTTCTTAATAATTGATCTCCCCCTCTCTCCTTGTAATTTATTAATTGATATCTCTCTCTCTCTTTTCTTGTATTTGAACAATTTAAACTACAATTGTTTTCAGTTGCCTACATATGTCATCTCTCTCTCTCAAAACCCCTCTCTCTGTCCTTTAAGAAGTGAACTTTAATTCTTTTCAGCTTTTAAAGTACATCAACTCTCTCTCTCTCTCTCACTCTCTCTCCATCTTTCACATGTACATAGTTGGGTGTCGGCACCATTCTCTAGGACAAAAAAGGCGCGAGACGTGCATATTCTTGTGGGATGTATCGTTAGATTCTTAACAATGTCCTTAGATTTTCAAATTACAGCAATGATTTGAAGTTAGTATTTTCCAGTGTTGCATAGATACGTGTCAGAGAATCTGGTATGTGAGGCTAAAATGTTCGTACTTCCTGATAGGTTCCTACAACCAATACTTTGAATAATATACAGGGTGTGGTTTCTATAAGATTGCAACCTTAAACAATTCAATTAAGGCACACTTCTAAATTTTATCGTAACATGTAATTTTGGTGTAAAAAATTCTTAGGATTATCTTAAAACCTATTTCCATATCTAATTATAAAATTTTAAATTCAAAATGGTTAAAATCAAGTAGATCTATAAACATATGAAAATCTAGATAATATGTGATAATATGTTGTAAGATGTGCTATTTTTCAAGATAAAAACTTAGTATTTTACAATGGATTTTTGAGGTTCATCTTTAATTCTACATTTTAAAGTTGCATCCTTATATGAACTTTACGAAATCACTGCCCTTTTCCTAATATAAATGTATATATAATGTGATTTCCTTAACCGTTACAACTTACCGGCAGTAGATTTAGTGCCAAATAGCATTTGCCTTGCTCAAGTCGCGTGATCGAACCCAATGACTTACTTTTTGCTTTTCTCTCTCTATTCTAAATAGTTATAGATTTAATGAGGATGCAGTTGGCATGTGGCCAGCTTGTATATTGTAAAAATGCTGGGTTGATAATAAATATATTTTTAAATATATTTTGACCTTAATTTTTAGAGAATATATAATTTTTAACATGGAGAGTATGAATACAAAAAATAAATAAATTGAAAACTAGATATGATAATTATATTAAAAAAACGCTTGAATTGTTATATACAATTGTTTTAAGATGGATGCTTTATACCTCTGGACGGCATACAGTAGAAATACAATCCAACGTGAAACAATTGTTCATTTAATAATGTGCACATAATTAAGTAACATCGCAATTTCCTTTACCTTGTACGGCGGGTGAGGTCATGTTCTTTTTGTTTTGTCTTTTTATGATATAAAAGCTAAAAAAAAACAGAGAAAAACTTTGCATTCATACGATTTTATCATGTAACCTCACCAACTCGAACGGTACCGCCAAAACCATTTAGCGCAAGTATTAGGGAAATGCGCGATACATACATCAATATATATTCAAATATTGATGGTATCATCATATATGTACGATCAAGTGTCTATAATATATCTTTGTATGTCAATATGTGTCAACACACGACACCAAAAAAATATTTTAAAGTGTCCACATAACACGTTATTATTCAATGTTTTTTCCCATTATTGATCTACAACACGTCAAATTTTTACTCCAAATGTTTCCTAACGCATGCAAAGTCAGTTGATAAATCCCAAGAAGACCCTCTTGGTCAGTAGCGATTTCGTTTTGTGCTTGACCCACACAACTTTCGAGAAAACAGTTGAAGTTCTTTAAGCGGCTTTATAATTTGATTTTCCTGTGTTGTTTGACGGACTGTTCTTTCTTGGATTTGCTTTTTCGGACCGCATGACTAAATACGAATTGTAGTTTGGCAAAATTTCAAATATTCTTGATGTATTTTTTGATTCCATGTTCTTTCTTTTGTTGAATACAAATCTTGCGCGTAATCCAACAAAGGTTCATTCAATCAAACTTTAATAATCTTCCCATTTTTCAAATTGATGAAAATAAGAGCGATATTCAGACTTAAGTACCAAACCCTAAACCTTGAGAATGGCCCGGGGCCTTGGCGGTAGTATTGTTGAGTTTTATGGTACGATTTATGACTCCATTCTCACCAAAAAGGTAGGGGCCCAAATCCCCACTGATTTACCGCTTTTAATTACCCAAAAATAATAATCCTAAACCTCTTCCTTTAGGCCTTGCTACAAGGAAGACGCCTTGGATTTCTTGTGCATCCCATACTGGCTGTTTATTGGTCGAGAAAAAGGCAAAGCTTTTTGTTCTTCAGCCTCTTGTGTCTGGAAGATGTGGCTATACTGTTGCATGCACAAATATTACTCTCTTTTTACTTCCTTTAAAAACGGCTCTTCCTACATCCTACTGCCTATGTATTAACTTTTTTGCTTCATGGGAAACCACGCTAGTTGATATTTGTTTGTGTAATACTTTAATATTAACTGAATATCTTCCTCATAGAGCTTTGTAGTCATATTTTTGTTAGCATTTAGAAAGGGAAAATGGTTTGATAGGGTTAGCCCTATCAAAGTAAGTAAAGCTTCACCTCATACCTCATCCAAAATTACAATTCAAGCATTGAAAAACCTTTACATTGATTGTATGATGAATAAGTGCATAACACTCATCATTGGTGTGGGTAACATTGCTACACAAATTTTTTTAAGATTTTTAGCTCTAAAAATAGTGTACATTGCAGCAAATTATCTAGACTATCCATTTCACCCTAAAAGTAAGTGTTCATAGATCCACAAGATCTGTACCATTAGGTTCAAATTTTATTGTTCGTGTTGGAAATTGATTTTAGAACGCCATCATGGAAGTTTCCTTTGCCGATAGTGCTCTTCGAGGATTTGAGATAAGGCCTTTTTTTGTTTTCACAAAGCTTAGGCCTTATAGAAACCTCATCCTTTGGAAGGCCCATACATACTACTCCGACTTTTTAACAAATGTTTATTTTATTTTCATGAAATATACCATGATAGCATTTACATACTGTTCGATAAATGAATCATCAATCATATGTTGACTGTTAACGATGCATGGCTTGTTCCTCCAGTCAAGTCTACGTGATGGGATTGGGCAGCCAAACTCCATCCATCTGATGCTGGCAACTATCACCATCTGATGTTGGCAACTGATGGTTGAGGATGCATTATCTACCCTATTCGATGGGGAAATGTTAGCATAGTTTATAAATTCCTCTAAGAACTCATAATAGTCTAAAAGAACACTCTATGTACCAGTTCTTTTTGTCTGGTCCGACCATTTCTTAGCTTCACGAATAACCGAAGTCTCTCTCCAACGCTATATCTAAGGATCCAATTTAACGTCATATGTGTTCTATATACCTATTTCCTATGCACTTGAACTCTCCATTTTCCTACTTTATTTATACCAAGTTCTTGAGTAGAATGTAACTTAAATGAACAACATAGATTTTGCATACACAAACTCTTCCTCCCAACTATTGTCAGTCCATATAATTGAATCGAAATCCACCATCCATTCCACCCTGGAAATGACTTCTCATTTGAAGCTTAAAGAAGCACCTGCCACGACATGCCAGCACCATTAGCAGGCAAACATAGACTAAGATTCAAATTTGTTACCTCTAGGATTCACTTTGCTACATTATTGTCCACCATTGATTTGAACTAAACAAAAGGGGTACATAAAATGAAGGTCCATTTTCTTGTAGGATAACAACGCATTAAATTGTCAAAGTACAAGGCTGCTATCCAAAGACTAGAATGACCATCCTATTGCCAATTTAATGCTAGATCCTTGGAGGATCATTAACGAAACAACCCAAAAGAGTAGGCAAGATATAACCACGCAAAAAACATGAAATTTTTGCGGCACCGTCAGCATGCCCCCACTGAGTGAGAAACCCTCAGTTTTAATAATAAATGAGTAACTCTATTGTTAGTTTATCTGGGTGAAGCAGTTAATATCTAGTGGTGGAGACAAGTTGGCCCAACCATTGTATCTCAGGTCTGAGTTCCCATGAAGGAAATGAAAGAAAACGAATATCAAGCAATGCGGAACAGTCCAACTCCGTCCCATGTAACTCCACCTATTTCATACCATAGATGAACAAAATGGTCAATCTGAGAAGATAAACGTTCATCCACAAATATAATTTTTAGTACAAACAATACCATTAAATGGTTGTGGAGACTTCTCTGTATCACACTGGAAAATGCATTTCTGTGCTCATACTGCCAATTGATGTAGAAAGTATCAGCAATAGAAAAAGATGAGAACAGCCGTTACATTGATTTATTGGCTAAGTACAAAGCATTAAAATTAGAAAAACCGGACTATAACCTCTTTTGAGTTGTGTAAGTAGAGAAACTTGGAGACTCCAATCTGCATCAACTAAGTAAATCACCAAAGGATCAGAATAACATGGAGATGAGTGCTATAGTCGGAAGCTGTCGTATAGAGGACCTATTGTACAGCATAATGGAAATCTCCGACACATTTTGTAACTGCTTCGTTGGCCTTCTGAGATTCCGATCTCTCTTCTCTTTTCTTCTTCTCTCTGCAACACAAAACCAAGCAGGTAATAAATCAATATTTTCTAAGTACAATTAATTTCTGTGCACATTATTCCTCGAGTGAAAGAAAGAGAATCTAACACTAAGCTCTACCCCTTCCAACATTATAAAATCCTGCCGGGCCATGCTTGTCTCACATGATTTTTCTTAACAAACTATTAACTTCATACTACTAATGCTTTTCTGCCTTCCCTTTGGCAAACCCCCCTTCATCGTATATAATGAAGCCTTTTATAGAAACTTTTTTAAAAAAATATCAAAATGTCCTCATTTTTCAAACATGAAACCCAATAAAGCTTTGATATTTCAAAACCCACTGATGATATTAGTTACTTCCAAGAAATGTTTGTGTTTTTTGTAAAGCATGGCAGGAATAAAGCAAGCACCATATTACGAACACAACCATGTGGACACAACATGAGGGTTTGTACCTTGATGACAAAGGCAATGCAACTAAATCAAGAAAATTTTGCTTACAGAAAAAATTGTGCCAAACAACAAATGCAAGATTAACTTGAACAGAAAGTGAAAATATGGAGGAGCAAGTGAAACCTCATTAAATAACTGCAGAAATACCACCGGGTGACGGCTAGGACATCAAGCTAGCTAGTACCAATTTGTCCTTGATACAAGACTTTTTTATGTTCAAAACGCGGCCTAACAGAACCTAATAAGCCTCGAATTATTTCAATAGATACTTATACATCTGCTTATCCTATTTGCTTCAACCTAATCTGGCATAAATGAGATTGATATCCAAAATCAAAGATAGTACAAAGAATTCTTTCCCATTAAGTGCTAATTCATTCAAAAATTTGACTTTTCCGAATTTTGCTAAGTCTCTATATTTGCGACTCTAGAAACAACTATTGTAGTCAAATAATGCCAATAAACAAGCTACCAAATTTGAAATAAAAACCCTTCACCAAGGAGGAGAAAAGTGGAAAAATATGAACAAGCAGATAAGTACCTGTCAATATATTCCTTTAAGAGCTCCTTTGCCTGGACCAATTTGGAGAGAAGGTTGCGATATACATCAAGATCCCTATCCACACTCCTTTTGTCTACATTCAGAGCAGCACAAAGCTGTTCATGAAAGATAATCAAGCAAATGTCAGATAAGTGGTCTAAGAAACTGACTCCTATCAAAACAAAATGAATACATGTTCATACATGAACATTGTAAAAGTAGAATGAAACATAAATGTTGAAGAATATCTTAAATCAATGATGCTACAGTCAGGAAACATTCAAAGAAGTTTGTGTATATAGAAAAAATCAAAGAAACAATAAGAATAGCCTAATTGGAGTAACACAACGCATCAAGCTGGGTTTCACTGGTAGAATGATAAAATAAAGAACTTGCGACTTTGCATTTTTGCTGATTAGTAAGTGCAGACGTTGAAATAAAAACACTATAACCATAACCGTAACTCTCAAGGAACAGCTGGATAGTCATAAATTTCAAAAAACAACTGGAATGTGTCGTGTGTTTTTTTATTATAACCATAATCACAACTTGTGAAACAACCAGAATATGTGCAAGCATGAGAGAGAGAGAGAGAGAGAGAGAGAGAGAGATTCAATCAAAATTGAAGACTCATATTAGTCCCAGACTATTAATATAGACACTGACGTCTCAGTTTTTTCTAACACTGAAATGAAACAGAAACCCGTCTGTCATGGCAGAAATGCATTGGACACTCCTCAACATACAAAAGCATGCCTACAGCATGTCACCAAAGGGACCCATGGGTCAAAGATTATGTATGTGTCTAGACTTCTACAACGCATGCACAAACAAATCTGGATAAATGACTTTCAGTACATAATGATAAGTTGTGGTAGTATTTCAAGAAAGACTAACAGCTAACTCCTAAATCCATTACCTCTTATAGGAGTTAGATGACAGCACACTCCAAAAATAAAGCAACAAACGAGGACACTGATCAAGAATGTCATGATGAGAACAGTAAATTTTCATAAAAGATAGCTGCAATTTTGTTGGTTAATAAAAACAAAAAAGACAAATTATTCTGCGGCACTAGAATGTAGCAGCTCATATAATTGATTAATACGAAAGGGCGAACAAGTACATTTGATAAAATAACCTTTTCCAAAATAGCAGAGTCTGTTACATTCGCCAACTCTAGAAGACGAAACAGACCAATTGCAAAGAAACGGCTATAGCTGAAATTTCCCTTTCCCCCAGCACGTCCCGATATATCTTTCAAGATTGCCTCAACTTCTCCTTCCCGAGAACTAAAGTCAACTATTGAATTTGCATTCTGAGCACGGGCCCATTCTTCCAATTTTTTTGCATCATTTCTGAAGGGAAATCACAATATAAGCAGTTAAATCTTGGTTACCTCATAACCAGGGCATAAATTTAGAATATGCCATTATATATCCAATTATAGGATAAACTATCCAATGACAAAATTATAAATATACAGAAACCTATGTTAAGCAAGCAACATCTATCTGATTAACTGTGCCTATGGAAGTATGAATACATAAAAGAACGCCTCATAAATTTTCTTCGATTACCATCGAAGTGCAAGTGTTCAGCAGGCATGGGAAAAGTTATATTCAAAGGAAAATATAGGAGAAATAAGACAACTGGGCCAGCCCTGTCATGGCCCTGGCCCAAGCCTTGTCCTGCCCTGCCTCGGGCCATGGTGGTATCGGAGTTATGGCCTTTCAAGGCTTTAAAACCAAGATTCTCTTACTCAGTTGGAGTGAGCGAGAGAATATGATTCTAGATGCTTCGCACACTGGGGCATAGAATTATATACCGAGAGGTCATAAGGCAATGAGCTCATACGGGTGAGAGAGAGACGCCACTTTTGTAGGTGTGAGGGTCACCTCTAGTCAAAGACATTAAGAGATGGGATGGTGAATAGGCCAGGGCTAGGAGAACCAAAAGGAAACTAGAACCCGAGTGTATTAAGTGTAACAATCCTATTTTAAGATGTTCATGACTCAAGAGACATGAATCAGAACCCTGATTCTAGACCATCCTATAGCATGTGTACAAACAGTCGCACGGGAAGCCACTCTTTTGATGTGTTAATGACCTAACTACGAAGAGCTGTGTGCATGTGCCTTGAAAGGACACATGTATATGAGAATTTCATGCCCCCTGGTGTGCACCTGTAATTCACTGACAACTGAGAGTTTTGGGACATGGATTGAGGTGATTTTGATAGTCATATTATGCGTCTTTGTCAGAAACTGTGGAGCATAGGCTTGTTGGGTCAGTCCAAGAGAATGGACCAAGTGGCCATATGGTGATATGTGGCACCCCATGTCAGCCCCAAGGTGCCGACATCATCATGATGTGGAGCCCTAGTGGATGTCCTATTGTGGTAATTGCTAATTGTTTTTAATAGAGTTTTATAAAATTTGAAATAAAATATTATTTTAACTTAAGTGAATAGTATTAGTCACATGCTTAATTGCCACATGTGTGGCATTGATCCCATGTGCCTAGGTTTAAGTGTAGGCCTTGGATAATTTGGCTTAAAACCCTATTCTTTAATGGAAACCTTGATTAACTAACCTTTTAAAGTGCCATCATATCATTGGTTCAAGCCATGTGATTTTTACACAATGGCAAAATTTCATTGGATGAGCCATGTAAATTTTTATTTTTGAGTATTAAACAAACTGAGGATTTAAAAATACCATGAGGGCCACACCCCTCTCACTTTGACTCTTCTTTAATTTCAAAAGTTCAAGAGAGACAATTTTGGTATGTTAAAATGACTCATTGATGATTTCAAAATTTAGGGCTTAGTGGAGTGATAATAGTGGGAAATCACATTCCTAGATCTTGATCGCTAGATAGGAATGTGTGGCTAGGATCATGACCCTCTCATGTACCCTGGATAATTAGCATCAAGGGCTAAGATCACACCACTTATGAAGTCACAACCACTTGTCTATAAATACCGCTTGGCTCATTTCAAACCACCCTAATTCATTGTAGAGAGAGAGAGAAAAATGAGCCCCACGTGTCACTTCTTTTGGTCATCTTCCTCCTTCATATGGAGGCAAGGTAACTCTATGGCCATATGAAGTTGCATCCACTTAAATAATGCATGCCATCTTAGTCTACTTCATTATCCACATAAGGGATGACCTTCATAGTTCCCTCTCCTACATTGAAAGGCTTCATTTCCATCTCTTATTCTTGCTGTAAATTGATGATTATAGTAGCCTTTCCATGACTCCATGCTTAACTCTTCATGAGTATTGAGCACCTTTTGAAACTATATATCCATACTATCTCATATGCATAATCTAGATCAGATTCATGTAATTTAGACACCATTTTCCCAAAGTGACCACCAGATTTCTGAGTATTTTGGAGTACTTTTGATGCACACCAGCAAACATTTTATGTTCATTTAAGTATCAAATTGTGAGATCATCGTCCTAGAGCATTTGTTTGAGAAACTACACATAAATTGACTAAACCATGGCCATATATTCCCATCTTTCATGAGCAGTCTATACCTTGCTTTAAACAACCATTTTCACCATTAAATATTTGTCTCATTCTCATATTTTGGAGCCAATTAAGTGGTAAGAAAGTGTGCTTAAGCTTCCTAGTAATTAAGTGGGATCAGCACTCGTGTTTACAAACCATCCTTGCTATCATCTATAGGACAAAATTAAATCCCTAAAAGATCTGATTGCTGACCCGGGCACAAAGGCTTCGACCATTGGCCTTCCCTCGGTTCCTTGGACTTACTTTGCTGTAATTTTGAGTAAATGTCTCGTGCCATGGAGAATTGAGTCTGTAATGTTTTGGGAAGGTTTATGTTGATGAGAAAAGAGTATGTGCAGTCCATGTATATGTAAGTGAGTGAAGTGGTATAGTTTGTTTCTCTATGTGCTCTGTGTTTGTTGTTATAGCTTTGGGACTCCATAGAGTTGTTAATTTCCTAAATGTCATTAATATTTGAGTCTTTATTGGTTTCCTTTTTGAGTTACAGTGAAAAACAAGTTGTAAGTATGTGAAATCTTAAATTGATTACATAGTTAAAGTGTTGATTGTAAGGAACCTAGACAGAACTTAAAGCTCTAAAACCAAAATTTCCTGGTGGAATTAAACCTGTAGGTGGGTAAAGTGTTCTAGTAGGTGGGAACCTGTAGGTGGGTAAAGTGTTCTAGTAGGTGGGAAAGGGCCAGAACTTCTTAATGTAGGGTAGTTTTGAGTGTATGGGTTTGCAAGTAGGAGTTGAAATTGGGAATGGTATTGTGGCTGAGGGTATTGAGATTTCATCCAAAGATCTTTTTCAAGGCTTTGTAATTATTTTTCTAAAAAAGCTTTTTCCTTTCCTTTATGATTCAGTAAATAGGATTGCTCAAGAATATCCTCTACTGTATATAAGATCTGCATCAATTCTTCATGCACCAGTTGAATCTTTTCTTTCAATTGAACAATTATGCCAACTAAGCCCTGTAACTGTGAAGACACATAACATTATGTTTTTCTTCAATTTGAAGTAAAGCTAAATTCTGTGATTTAGCATTTTCAGCTTGCTTTAGCTAGAGATATGGACCTTTGTGCTCCAGTGACATCTCTAGTACTGGGATTTTTTATCTTCCATACATGTTTTTCATTTTCCTGAAGTTTTTCATAATCATGTAATGGAGGAAAATTTGAGGCATAACTTGAACTTTGGGGGTCGAAAGCTAAGCATCATGGAATGTGAATTTTTCTTTTAGATTCATCATCCTGATCATCCCATCTTGTAGGGACGATCTCTGAAACAGTGTGCTTGGGTTTTTGCTTATCATAAGTTACATAATAATCCCATTTTCCTGAACTCTCTCCAAGTAATCCAACTGTTGGATCACCGTCAAGATATCTCTGATGAAGCTTTTGTTGAGATGAAATTTTCTTTCTATTTTTCTTTTTTGGTGTTTCACCAAAATCATCTCTGAGACAAGTGGAACAATTGCAAATATCAAACAATTATGACCATCAGAAGTTTTCTGTTCATAAATTGGTTTCCCTGCTTTGTCAAAGGCAGCAATTGGAACTTTTTCAAGTAGCCCTTGAAATTGGGTAGGAAATATTTTTCTGGTTTGATTTTCAATAGCTCTTGGTGTCTGAAAACTTATATGTACTATTCCATCAGGCATTCTTGTCATTCTAGAATCTGATTGCATCACTGGCTGACTTTGATTTTGAAAATTTTCATAATTTGTCACTCATGTCGATGGAATCAATTCAAGCAACCGTTCTCGAGATATTTGTCTAGGTATGTAATGACAGACAGGTTGGGAATTATTGTCAACTTTGATGAACAAGCCAGTATTTTCATATTCAGGAGGTAAAGGGATAACTATATCAAAAGCATGATTCTGTAATCTATACACTATTTGATAATGGAGTGTAGCTACAGTGGCTGTTTCAATTTGCTTGGTTCCTGTAATTTGTAATTGGACTTTGAAGGCAGAACTCAAATGAGGGTCTTTGATTGGGATATTAACGTTTGGGAAAAAGGAACAAATATGGTGCCAGCGTTTAAGGTTGTTTGCACAGTTCCGATACAGGCATGCTGGTATTCTAAAAATCTGAAATTTAACAAAGCAATTCAGGAAACTACTTCCATACCTTTCCTTCCATGAAATGTTAAGGCTAATTTGATGGCTCCGAAATGAATATGCGTATACCCATCTTTATGCCATTGGAAAAATAGGTTTCTGGGTAAAGTAATAGTGATGTACTGTTCAGCTTGGGTAGCAGGGATTTGGTGTTGATCAAAAGAGGAGGTGGCTTCAGGGTTCTTTTTTCCACAAAGCTTTTTAATTCTCTTGGTCCAATTTAAGCGAGATTTATCATAAACATGATAAGGGTTAATTAATTGAGAACTAGTTTCATAAAACTTTTCAGGGGTATAGGATATTTCAAAAAGATGTTCTTGTTTAGAAAACATGGGACCTAAATCTGGACTAGAAGAAGAAACACTATCTAAAAAGATATCTGAGACACTTTCTTCGACCATGTTGAAATAATCTACTGTGTTGACTGTGAATTTTTCAAATAAAGGTTAAGGTCAACTTTCCTTTTCTAGTTAACAAGATATGAACTCCTTTCACGGCCTTTTTGCCTCACACAGAGCTGCTGTTATGTTAACTTTCAGAAAGTATTGCCAGTGGAATAACATCAACATTAGAAATTAACCTTTAATTCATACTATGTTTTCTGATGCGAGAGATCCTAGATCAACTAGGCAGACGCAGAGCATACTAATCTTAGTATGAACTACAGATTAACCCAGTCAACAAAGTAAATATTGAAAATA